ATGGTCAGTATACGAATGTCCTCTTACTAATGGCCCAATTCTATATATACATATATATATATATATATATATATATATATATATATATATATATATATATATATATATATATATATATATATATATTACTGTGATCTTATTGTATATATATATATATATATATATTATATATATATATATATATATATATATATATATATATATATATATATATATATATATATATATATATATATATATATATTACTGTGATCTTATTGTATATATATATATATATATATATATATATATATATATATATATATATATATTATATATATATATATATTCATGTGCAAAGCAACATAACATATATATATATATATATATATATATATATATATATATATATATATATATATATATATATATATATATATATATATATATATTCATGCGCAAAGCAACGCATGTTGCTTTACCTGCTTTTCTGTCTTCGTGTTTGGCTTCCAGTGCATTAGTCAAGAAGATAGTTCCCGAACGTTTGAGACGTGGTAGGAGCTCAAGACCCCAGGTTTACTGAAGCAGCGATTCGGTGGGACACCCTTACAGACTCCTCCAGTAGACCAGCTCCTCCCAAACAGCACAAACAGTCCCACTGGGACAAACCGATCATGGAAAAAATCGCCAACACAATGCTCTCCAATGCTTCAGTTAAGGACAAAGCTCGTCTCCTGGCAGTGAAGGCACCACACTCAGGAGATTTCCTGTTTGCTGTTCCCAATTCCTCCCTGGGAACCCGTCTCGACCCACAGGCCATTCGGATTGGTGTTGCTCTTCGCCTAGCCGCCCCCATCCTCACCGAACATAGGTGTATTTGCGGCAGGGCGACAGCTGATCAATTCGGACTTCATGGTCTCGTGTGTCACACAGCAGAAGGGAAGTATGCCAGACATGAGGTCAGTGACTTCATAAAGAGAAGCCTCGCCACAGCCCGTTGCCCAGCTCAACGGGAACCCCAAGTACAGAGGTCTGATGGAAGTCAAGAGCGTCCTGATGGAGCCATTATGCTACCCTGGAAGGATGGAAAGCAGATTGCCTGGGACTACACCTGTGCCGCCACATTGGCAGACACCTACTTGTCATGCTCCGTAGTGGAAGGGGGGTGGAGCTGCCACCCACAGGGAGACCAGAAGATCCGAAAATATGAAGACCTTTCCCCTTGCTATAACTTCATTCCAATAGGGTCGGAGACCCTTGGAGCATGGGGCAAGTGTGCTCTAAAGTTCCTCAAAGAACTGGGTGAAAAGCTCATCATAGAAACCAAGGACCACAGGGCGACCAGCTTCCTCTTTCAGAGACAGAGTTGCGATCCAGAGAGAAAATGCCTGCAGCAGGGGAGCTGGACGAAGTATTCGAGATTTAGCTCTGAGTTACCTATGTAGTTTTACTTTCTGTTGCATTTTTGTGAATGTTTGGCCAATGTATTTTGTCTTTAAATAAAACATACTTGAAATATAGGGGGTGGTAGAAGAAAATTCTCAAACAGCTTCAGGGAGAACCTTGAGTTTTCCCTGAAGCAAGTTTATTCTTTTCTCTGAGGATGAGGGTCCCCAGAACAGTTCTAGAGGTGGTACCTCTCTCTCTCTCTCTCTCTCTCTCTCTCTATATATATATATATATATATATATATATATATATATATATATATATATATATATATATGTCGTGCCGAATAGGCAGAACTTGCGATCTTGGCTTAAATAGCAACGCTCATCTTGCCATATAGGACAAATGAAAATTTGTGTATGCAATAATTTCGCCAAAATCATTCTGAACCTAACGAAAAAAAATATATTTCACTGTGTTTGTTTAGTATTAAATTACTGTAAACAATTCTAAAATATATTTAGTTGGGTTACGCTAAAATAAATTGCTCTTGTTATAATAAGGTTAGGTAAGTTTTCTAAGATTCTTTTGGTGCAAAATTAAAAAAAAATACATTAACATTAATCAAAAAATATATCTTTAAACGTATAAGAGAAAATTTTAGAAAGGACATAATTTTAAATGAGTTCTTGCTAATTGACCAGTTTTACATATTCGGCACGACATATATATATGTTATTATATATATATATATATATATATATATATATATATATATATATATATATATATATATATATATATATATATATGTATGTATACATACATACATATATAAATTACCTCAGTGAAAATAAGAAATAAAACCTGAGCGTTTTCATGTGTTTACAAACACATACATACACACACGCACACACACACGCACACACACACACACACACGCACACACACACGCACACACACACACACACACATACACACACACACACAGTAACTGGCTTCTCGAATTCAATCCAGCCAAATGCAAAGTCATGAAGATTGGGGAGGGGCAAAGAAGACCGCAGACAAGAGTATAGGCTAGGTGGACAAAGACTACAGACCTCACTCAGGGAGAAAGACCTTGGGGTGACCATAACACCGAGCACATCACCGGAGGCACACATCAACCAAATAACCGCTGCAGCATACGGGCGCCTGGCAAACCTGAGAATAGCGTTCCGATACCTTAATAAGGAATCGTTCAAGACACTGTACACTGTGTATGTTAGGCCCATACTGGAGTATGCAGCACCAGTCTGGAACCCACACCTGGTCAAGCACGTCAAGAAGTTAGAGAAAGTACAAAGGTTTGCAACAAGGCTAGTCCCAGAGCTCAAGGGAATGTCGTACGAGGAAAGGTTAAGGGAAATCGGACTGACGACACTGGAGGACAGAAGGGTCAGGGGAGACATGATAACGACATACAAGATACTGCGGGGAATAGACAAGGTGGACAGAGATAGGATGTTCCAGAGAGGGGACACAGGGACAAGGGGTCACAACTGGAAGCTGAAGACTCAGACGAGTCACAGGGACGTTAGGAAGTATTTCTTCAGTCATAGAGTTGTCAGCAAGTGGAATAGCCTAGCAAGTGAAGTAGTGGAGGCAGGAACCATACATAGTTTTAAGAAGAGGTATGACAAAGCTCAGGAAGCAGAGAGAGAGAGGATCCAGTAGCGATCAGTGAAGAGGCGGGGCCAGGAGCTGAGTATCGACCCCTGCAACCACAATTAGGTGAGTACAATTAGGTGAGTACGCACACACACACACACACACACACACACACACACACACACACACACACACACACACACACACACACACACACACACACACATATCGCAGCATATGGGCGCCTTAGCAAACTTCAGAACAGCATTCCGACATCTTAATAAGGAATTGTTCAGGACCCTGTACATCGTGTACGTTAGGCCCATATTGGAGTATGCGGCACCAGTTAGGAACCCACACCTAGCCAAGCACGTAAAGAAACCAGAGAAAGTGCAAAGGTTTGAAACAAGACTAGTCCCAGAGCTAAGGGGTATGTTCTACGAGAGGTTAAGGGAAATCGACCTGACGACACTGCGGGACAGGAGAGATAGGGGGGACATGATAACGACATACAAAATACTGAGAGAAATTGACAAGGTGGACAAAGCCAGGACGTTCCAGAGATGGGACACAGCAACAAGGGGACATAGTTGGAAGTCGAAGACACAGATGAATCGCAGGGATGTTAGGAATTATTTCTTCAGCCACAGAGCAGTCAGGAAGTGGAATAGTTTGGGAAGCAATGTAGTGGAGGCAGGATCCATACATAGCTTTAAGCAGAGGTATGATAAAGCTCACGGTTCAGGGAGAGTGACCTAGTAGCGACCAGTGAAGAGGCGGGGCCAGCAGCTAGGACTCGACCCCTGCAACCTCAACTAGGTGAGTACACACAAACACACGCACACACACTAAATATATGAGTGGCCCGGTGGCCTGGTGGCTAAAGCTCCCGCTTCACACACGGAGGGCCCGGGTTCGATTCCCGGCGGGTGGAAACATTTCGACACGTTTCCTTACACCTATTGTCCTGTTCACCTAGCAGCAAATAGGTACCTGGGTGTTAGTCGACTGGTGTGGGTCGCATCCTGGGGGACAAGATTAAGGACCCCAATGGAAATAAGTTAGACAGTCCTCGATGACGCACTGACTTTCTTGGGTTATCCTGGGTGGCTAACCCTCCGGGGTTAAAAATCCGAACGAAATCTTATCTTATCTTATCTTATCACACACAATGGCATGCCCTACGAGAAGAGGTTTAAGGGAAATCGACCTGATAACATCAGAGGACAGGAGAGATATGATAACTACATATAGAATACTGAGAGGAATCGACAAGGTGGACAGAGACAGGATGTTCCAGAACTGGGACACAGCAACAAGCGTTCACAGTTGGAAACTGAAGACTCAGATGAATCACAGGGCTGTTAGGAAGTATTTCTTCAGTCATAGAGTTGCCAGGAAGTGGAATATTCTGAGAGGTGATGTAGTGGAGGCAGGACCCATACATAGCTTCAAGAAGAGGTATGATAAAGCTCATGGAGCAGCAAGAGTGATCTAGTAGCGACCAGTGAAGAGGCGAGGCCAGGAGCTGTGAATCAACCCCTGCAACCACAACTAGGTGAGTACACACACACATACACACACAGTGATAAGATGTTTCAGAGATGGGACACACCAACAAGGGGTCACAAGTGGAATATGAAGACTCAGATGAGTCACAGGGATGTTAGGAAGCATTTCTTCAGTCACAGAGTTGTCAGGAAGTGGAATAATCTGGAAAGGGAGGTGGTGGAGGCAGGATCCATACATAGCTTTAAGAAGGGGTATGATAAAGCTCACGGAGCAGGGAGTGACCTAGTTGCGACAATGGAGAGGCGGGGTCGACCCCTGCAACCACAATTAGGTGAGTACAATTAGATGAGTACACACACATATATTAACAAACAACAGGCCATGTGTCTTAGTGACAAGTGCCTTGGACAAATGGTAACTAACACACAATTAGGATATATATTTTTTAATTAATTAGGTAGACAGTTTACCATTATAGTTAGTAAGAGCAGATGCAACATGGAGTGTCTACCGTCCACAGATGGCGCCACGTACATCACTGTTCACTCAGCAGCAGCTGAAGTGATACCTTCCTCTCTCTTAGAACGAGTCAACTCTGGAAGAATAAACAAAAACGTGTTTAGCATCAGGAGAAACATTCTTCATAATAACAGGATAGCGCCCTCAGTTGCTACCTCAAGGCTCATACCCTCAGAAAAAACAATAAAAGGACTTCGGAGGATTTTTTATAGTACACATAACTAAAGACAATATGACTCGTCTTTCTGAAAGAAGCCGAGTATGATTATTATACCAGTAGTCTGAGGAAGGGTTGGCTAGTAATAGTCTGTGCATAACTTATATACAAAAATATAAAAATCTGAGTAGTTTCTTCTCCTATGATGACTTTTTCTTTTAGCAGTTGATTGGGTATCCTCTGAGTGAGTATACCAGTGTCTTTTTTTTTCATATTTTTCCTTCCTGGAAAATTTCCTTGTGATAACTTATTAACACATATTCTGCCTGGCTTCAAACTATGCTGATACTATCTTATGAGAAAATTTTTCTGATTGCTGTTGCCAACTTGTCAGGTTTATTTAAAAAATTAGTTGATTTGATTTCCGGGCGATAACTAGACAACGATTCTTCTGGTAGGCTACAAACTTGCCACACTGATGCAGATAACACAAAGGAAGGTTCACAACAGCTTTAGGTTGTACAGATACAAATAAAGTAAGTTTTATATCATAATTAAATTATATAATTTTTTATGCAGTTCCCTCTGTCTGTGAAGGTGATGTAAGTTTTCATCTTAGAATTCACACAATTTTAGAAAACTAAGCTTATTCAACTCTTAACTAAAATGTTTTAAAATTCTTTGCTCTCATACGTCTTGCATAAGAAAACAGCAGCAGCGAGTTTAAAAGAAATCAATAAATTGGTTTCTGTGATATGTCAGCGAAGCTAACTTCCTCTCCCCTGTAAAACATTATTATCATCCTGTCTTAACATTATCTAGCAGATAAGACTTTACGGACATAGCCGGTCTAGTATTATCTGAGTGGCCTCGTATTTAATGCTTGTGAGTTGCTCGAGTACCAGCTCCTGGGCCTCTTGAGGGTATTGACTTCCAGCCCCCTTATCTCTTAGGAGGGTTGAATTACAGCTCCTTGGTCTAGTGATGGAGTTCAGCTGCAGCTCTTTCGACTCCTGAGGGTGTTGAGATACGCCTAACATAAATAAGCCTTTGCGTGCGTTAAGGTACAAGCTGCTGTCGGTGTCATGATACCAAGAATTTTTCTCGGATTGCCCAGCGACCAAGACACTATCAAGGCTAGATCGGGAAGCCTACCTCCTGGTAGCTACTAGTGAGCAGTATCAAGGCTAGACCGGGAAGCCTGCTTACTAGTACCTACTAATGCAGTGATTTCCAACCTTTTCATCACCAGGGACCCCTTTTATTTAAACGAATTTTCCCAGGGACCTCAGGTTTTTGGAAGGTCTGTGTACTCAAGAATCCAATTTTATTAACTAGCAACAAATTCGTTTTCCCAGTTTCATCCCTCAGTTGCAAGACGTACGTAACTGAGTATGTGTTTAAATAAATGTCAGAATTAAAAAAAATTACTTGTTTAACGAAATGGCTGATGCTGATTTGTTTACACTGTTTTGATTTTCAGGTTCAATGGCAGTTTGATCCAAGGAAGAAAGTAGCTCTAATGACTTATATCAAGAGCCCTTCACCGGCATCAAGGCATCTTCAAGCATACAAAGACGCCCCTGGCAACACTGTTTGCTATCTTCCATACCTGGTAACCCCCAATGTTGACGCTAGTCTAGTAACATCGAATCCGGTGTTGTAATTGGTAACACTGTTATATATGTCTGACAGTACTGCTTATTGTGCACTGGGATATTATTTAGTGTTTTGTGTCCAGTTATTGTGGAAATTAACGACTTGCTTAATGACCACCTTTTGTGATGCTGTGTTATGTTAGTAGTGGTCATTATTGTACAACAACAAGCTTGTTACCTCCATACACACAACAAACACATGTACCAAAGACGTACACACACACACACACACACACACATACACACACACATACACACACACACACACACACAAGTATTTCTTCAGCCACAGAGTAGTCAGTAAGTGGAATAGTTTGGGAAGCGATGTAGTGGAGGCAGGATCCATACATAGCTTTAAGCAGAGGTATGATAAAGCTCACGGCTCAGGGAGAGTGACCTAGTAGCGATCAGTGAAGAGGCGGGGGCCAGGAGTTCGGACTCGACCCCCGCAACCTCAACTAGGTGAGTACAACTAGGTGAGTACACACACACACACACACACACACACACACACACACACACACACACACACACACACACAAAGAAGGCCGCAGACGGAGTACAGTCTAGGGGGTCAGAGACTACAAACCTCACTCAAGGAAAAAGATCTTGGGGTGAGTATAACACCAGGCACATCTCCTGAAGCGCACATCAACCAAATAACTGCTGCAGCATATGGGCGCCTAGCAAACCTCAGAACAGCATTCCGACATCTTAATAAGGAATCGTTCAGGACCCTGTACACCGTATACGTTAGGCCCATATTGGAGTATGCGGCACCAGTTTGGAACCCACACCTAGCCAAGCACGTAAAGAAACTAGAGAAAGTGCAAAGGTTTGCAACAAGACTAGTCCCAGAGCTAAGAGGTATGTCCTACGAGGAGAGGTTAAGGGAAATCAACCTGACGACACTGGAGGACAGGAGAGATAGGGGGGACATGATAACGACATACAAAATACTGAGAGGAATTGACAAGGTGGACAAAGACAGGATGTTCCAGAGATTGGACACAGTAACAAGGGGACACAGTTGGAAGCTGAAGACACAGATGAATCACAGGGATGTTAGGAAGTATTTCTTCAGCCACAGAGTAGTCAGTAAGTGGAATAGTTTGGGAAGCGATGTAGTGGAGGCAGGATCCATACATAGCTTTAAGCAGAGGTATGATAAAGCTCACGGCTCAGGGAGAGTGACCTAGTAGCGATCAGTGAAGAGGCGGGGCCAGGAGCTCGGACTCGACCCCCGCAACCTCAACTAGGTGAGTACAACTAGGTGAGTACACACACACACACACACTCAGGGGGGACATGATAACAGCATATAAAATACTGAGAGGAATCGACACGGTGGACAAGTACGGGATGTTTCAGAGATGGAACACAGCAACAAGGGATCACAATTGGAAGTTGAAGACTCAGATGAGTCACAGGGATGCTGGGAAGTATTTCTTCAGCCACGGAGTTATCAGGGAGTGGAATAGTCTGGAAAGGGAGGTGGTGGTGGCAGGAGCCATACATAACTTTAAGAAGAGGTATGATAAAGCTGATAGAGCAGGTAGAGAGTGACCTAGTAGCAATCAGTGGCGAGGCGGGGCCAGGAGCTATAAATCGACCCCTGAAACCTCAATTAGGTGAGCACACACACACACCACACCAAGTGCAAAGTCATGAAGATTGGGGAAGGGCAAAGAAGACTGCGGACGGAGTACAGTCTAGGGGGCCAAAGACTACAAACCTCACTCACGGAAAAAGATCTTGGGGTGAGTATAACACCAGGCACATCTCCTGAGGCGCACATCAACCAAATAACTGCTGCAGCATATGGGCGCCTAGCAAACCTAGGAACAGCATTCCGACATCTTAATAAGGAATCGTTCAGGACCCTGTACACAGTGTACGTTAGGCCCATATTGGAGTATGCAGCACTAGTTAGGAACCCACACCTAGCCAAGCACGTAAGGAAACTAGAGAAAGTGCAGAGGTTTGCAACAAGACTAGTCCTGGAGCTAAGGGGCATGTCCTACGAAGAGAGGTTAAGGGAAATCGACGTGACGACACTGAAAGACAGGAGAGATAGGGGGGATATGATAACGACATATAAAATACTGAGAGGAATCGACAAGGTGGACAGAGATAGGATGTTAGAAGTTGAAGACTCAGATGAATCACAGGGATGTTAGGAAGTATTTCTTCAGTCACACAGTTGTCAGGAAGTGGAATAGTCTGGGAAATGATGTAGTGGAGGCAGGATCTATACATAGCTTTAAGAAGAGATGTGATAAAGCTCATGGAGCAGGGAGAGTGTGAATTAGTATTAACCAGTGAAGAGGCGGGGCCAGGAGCTATGACTCGACCCCTGCAACCATATATAGGTGAGTACATATAGGTGAGTACACACACACACATGACTCTCATCAAAGAATCATTCACGACTCACATCCGGTAGACTTCGAGTAATTGCATTATTCAAAATCATTATCAGTTACTCTCCCAGAACTTTAATTACAGTTTCTTAATCAGAAAAAATAACGACTTACAATTACTTGATATTTTATTATTTTCTTTCTTCAGTTTTTCCAAATTTCGCCGATGTTGAAATCTTTGTTAAATATTGGAAATAATAAAACATTTTATTTTATATTTTGTATCTAAATGTATCTGGTTGAACAATGTACAAAATACCATTAATTACATTCTGTCAGAATCAAACAGATGGAGACTAAGTTATAATATCTGTTACACTAAATCAGCCAGAGATCCAGCTAGATTATAAATAACTCAGGTTCATTTCTCATAATGTGCTCGCATGTGTTACGGTGTTATATCTAAGACAATACTTAATATTTTTTTTTAATTTACTGCAATTTAAACAAGAAAACTGCACCTACAAGCTGAACAACAATAGAAGAATTGTTGCAGTGAATTGGTGCAGAAAGTTGCAAATGAGTTATTTCACGTGTTAGACAATGAAAATAATATTGACTTTATTGGTCATAACTTACATAAGTTACATTCATTTTCACTTATTGCAGTTCGTTAAGAGACTGACCCAAATGATTTACACTTGACATTGCCAACTTAAATGACGTATCTGTAGAAGACATATACCGACCCTCTGCCTCACATACACAAATCCTCCTGCACTAAGCCTCAAATCTGCTGTAAATGCTCATCCTCCGAGCATTATTGGACGAAATGCTCCCTTCCACAAAATTGTCCAAACTGCCAACAATCTCACTCTGCCACCTCCTACCAGTGCCCTAA